TTATTTCCTCCTAAGCTGTACTATTTAACCGAAACAATGATTTTTATATAATAATAGTGTTATTTGAAATAGGATTTTTATGATTGAGGGCCTTTAATAAATATAGTAAGGGATTATGATGGAGGTTAGTTTAGTGGGAAAATTAACAAAGGTAAAGATAGGACAAAATGTTGCCCCTGCCTCTGATAAAGCAAAGGTTGCAGAGGATAAAAAAATAAAATAAAATAAGAAATTGATGTGCAGTGGGATGTTCTGTATGTCCTGTGGGAGCCTGTTCTTGGGTTCCTTGTGGCTTTACCCAGCAGGTCCACGTAGAGGATGATTAGGACCATGGGCCTGAGTGCAAGTGTCTGAGATGGTCTGCACTTGGCTGTGCTGTGGGATGGTCTGTATATCAAGTTGCTCTGATTGGTCAATAAATAAAACACTGATTGGCCCATGGCTAGGCAGGAAGTATAGGCGGGACTAACAGAGAGGAGAAATAAAAGAACAGGAAGGCAGAAGGAGTCACTGCCAGCCGCCACCCTGACAAGCAGCATGAAAAGATGCCGGTAAGCCACGAGCCATGTGGCAGGGTATAGATTTGTGGAAATGGATTAATTTAAGCTATAAGAACAGTTAACAAGAAGCCTGCCATGGCCATACAGTTTGTAACCAATAGAAGTCTCTGTGTTTACTTGGTTGGGTCTGAGTGGCTGTGGGACTGGCGGGTGACAAAGATTTGTCCTGACTGTGGGCAAGGCAGGAAAACTCTAGTTACAGTGACACACAACCAGAACACATGAGTTTCTATTGAGGAGCCATATAGACTATGGCTTAGGATAATGATTAAGAAAAACAGTTGAGTTGCAGTAGCCAAGCTAGCTTAAATTCTTTTGATCTTAGTGTTGGGAGGTGTGTTCACAGGTCTTGGAGTGCATCATAGCTGAAACAATGCTTTGAAAATAACTTAAAGTTAGACTAAAATGTTTTTGTTAAATAGCTTTGAGGTGAAAAAAAAAAACAATAAGACAGTCTAAAGATTTAGAAAGGCACATAGCTGAGTGAGGAACTCTTTAAGATCAGGGAACAAGAACAAAGCAGCCCAATTATCATTAGCTGACACACCTCCTTTCTTGCTAGGATTGGTTGATGACCACAGGTGATGATTAACTCCTTATACCCTTTTTTTCCTGCCCTCAATCTCCTGACATAAAAACTATTGATGAGTGGGTTATGCACCCTAAAGTTTTAAAGTAGAGCCGACTGATTGTTTTTCTTGTATAAAAGTTTAGGTCTGTGATTTCTTTAAGATTCCTTATAAGATTGCCTTTCTAAATACACAACAAAGTGATTGATCCTTTCTTTGTAACCACAAAATGCAGCCTGCCAGTAAAAGAACATCTTGCTTCCTTATACTCTGTTAATCTATAACAAGTTGCTTGGGCATGAATGTATGTGGGTTCTTGGTAATAATTTATTTTTCATCTGTAATACCTAAAATGTTTAATTATGTAAGGTATATGGAGAACATGTTGTTTCTTACTTATATTCATTGTAATCACTCACGTGAAAAATAGAATGTAACCACATTGTAATTTTTATACTACCTGTAAGATTTTGCTGGGGTATATTAGGTTTAAGAAGGAAAACATCAAGAATGAGAGAATAAGGAAAAATAAAGATAGAATTAAAAGGGAAACGTTGAGAATAAAGATAGTTAGAAGGAAAACAAGAAAGAGAATTGGAAGGAAAATATTAAGGGAGTGAGAAGGAAAAAAATCACAAATGAGGGAATTAGGAGGAAAACATCAAGACAGAAGGGATATTTCTGGAGAAAAGAGATAACAAAGAAGGAAGCCATAGAGAGAGTGTGAGTGTCTTTTCCCCTTACCCCCTCAGATAAAAAAAGTCACAGTATGCCAACTCTGGATTCCCTTCAAGCCCTGTGCTGCTGAAGGTTGGTCCCCAGGCAGCAGAAAACTACGTTCACTGTGCCCTATAAGTCTGGTCATTTTCATTCAATTCTGGAAAGTCTTCCATTTCTTTCTTTATTTCTGTCTTGACCCATTTTTCATTCAGTTGTTCAGTTTCCCTGAGTTTATAAGCTTCCCGCTATTTCTGTTGTTGTTGATATCCAGTTTTAATCCATGGTGACCAGATGGATACAAGGTATTATTTCCATTTTCTTGTATCTGTTAAGACTTGCTTTGTGTTCAAGTATGTGGTCAGTTTTGGAGAAAGTTCCGAGTTGTGCCTTATAGAAGGTATATTCTTTTGTGTTTGGGTGAAATGTTTTGTAAATATATGTTAGGTCCATTTGGTTTATAATATGTTCTCTCTGGCATTTCTTTGTTTAGTTATTGTCTGGATAACTTGTCTATTGGCAAGAATGTGGTACTGAAGTCTCCCACTATCAGTGTATGAGGGTCAGTATGTTATTTAAACTGTAGCAGTGTTTCTGATAAGTTTTAGGCCTACTGAAGGCCTCTCCGCAGTTGCAACAAACCAAATTGGAAAGCCCAGGTTTAATAGGTAAAGTGCTCCCGGGCAATTCCCCGGCCCTCAGAGAGGTGACAGGGACGTGAGACCAGAAGAACCACAAGTCTGTTTTCTAAGATGCCGCTTATATATTCCCTGTGCAAGTGGTCTTGAGCCTTTCTGGGGGAGCTATGTTTGGTGGGCTTTGAAGGGGTGGGTTTAGGGAAAGAGATGGGGGAGTCGAGGTGGATCTTCCACCAGACTCCTTCCAAACATTCCAGACTCTTTGGGTATAGGGATGCCAGGGTGCCTAGGGTTGAAGTGGAGCTCTCACCCAAACATTCCAGACTCCTTGGGTATAGGGACACCAGTTCAAGTCGGACTACTTCTTGTGGGCATGGGACAGTGTGGGGAAGATGAGTCGGGAACTGATGAGATCACATTCAGCAGGAGGTATGAGTTAAGGAGCATCTGGTTAATTGTCATTCTGGGGACCTCAGGGATCTGTTTCTGAGTTCAATGAAGAGCTGGATGAGCTGTCGTTTGATGAGTCCATTGGCCTTCTCAACCTCTTGAGGATAAAGGTGTCAATCATAGTTAGGAGGTAACAGAGGTTTTTAGGTGTGGGCATGTGAGTGAAGACCCCCGATAATCCTTGCCTGGTTGGTGTCCTCGAAGCTGGTGCAGAGGCTGACAAATCTGGAAGCCCTGTGAAATACTCAGGAGAGTGTGGGGGCCAAGGTGAGTGTGACCCCAAAAAGGCTGAGAATATTGTGACCAAGCAGAGGTGCAGGGCAAGCAGGTTTGACCAGAAGAGTGTGAGAAGAATCGCCCTGCAGGAATGCAGGGAAGTGTCAGGGTCTTAAGTAGGAAGGAAGGGATCCTGTCCACCCCTGTGACAGAAATTGGTGAGGGAATTGTAGGACCTGAGTGAGATGTCAAAACAGAATAGGTAGCACCTATGTCCAAAAGAAAGTCAATGGACTTACCTGTTACCTGCAGCATCACCCTAGGCTTGGAGAGGGCAATGGGAGTCAGCTGGTCTATGCCATGTCAGTTCTCCACCAGGCTTAGGAGTTCTCAGTTGCCAGAGTTGGTGAGGCTGAACCTCCATGGTACTGCATAGAGGATGAGCCTGCACAGAGGTATTCTGATTTCCAGTTCCCAGGCTGTCAGCAGACAGGGCATGGCCTCCTGGGCGGCTGGGGGTCAGGGCCATAGCATGACCAGTGGCCCTGCTTGCCACATTTGAAGCAAGGTTTTGGAGGAGTTGACTTGGGCTGAGCTCTGGCAGGATGGAGCCTCATGGCCAACTTTGCTTGGGGGGTGGGCAGGTGGCCTCAGAGCAGCTGCTAAGGCTTGGGCTTGGAGTGTCAGGGCCCGAGGTGCCGCCTCGCTAGCGGGAGAGGGAGCAGAAGCAGTGCCCGAAGAGAGCCCTGAGGGCCAGCATGGAGCAAGAGGATGCTTTCCCAGCCCCACCATGGAGCTGCGCTGTGGAGGATTGCTGTTCAGTTCTCACTTGGATTCAGGGAACCTAGCCCATGTGGAAAAGGTGGAGACTGTGCCTAGTGATGGGGAAGGAGCAGGAGGGGTGGCCTCGGCCCCCACTGGTGCCATTGCTTCTTCCCCTGACTAAGAGTTCAACAGAATTTGAGAACGGGAACAGATCATTGTTCTGATTCAGTGTCCGGAGAAGAAACCAGGGAAGATTTGAGGGTGTTAGGCCAGCGTGTAGGTTGAGGCATTGGGAGATAGGGTGAAGCAGTAGGGGGACGGGAGGACAGGAAAGAAGGTAAGGAGGAGGAATTGGGTCTTAGATTTGTGGCCCTGGAGGAGGGGTGGGGTGGGTAGAGTTTGGGAGAAGTGGGGGAGGGGTCAGTGTCTCCAGCAGTGAACGGACTGGTGCTGTGAGACCTTGGCCCCTGTAGGGAAGGCTGGAATTTAGAACCCAAAAACTGTGTATGTTCTGTAGCCCCAATTGAATAAATTTTATAAAAGACCCCCCCGCCCCGCAGGGCCTTTGGGGACCAGGCTTTGAATGGCAAGTGCCATTTCTCAAGTCTATGCCAGGGAACCGAAACCTAGCCCAATGCGTCCACTGTGGTAAGTCTTGGGTCAAAAAAAACAGGGGCGTATGGAAAATTCTCTTTAACAGAACGTCTTCTGGAGAAGGGGTCCCATGGAACAAAGGCAGTCCATGGCACTGGAACAGTTCGGGCAGGGAGAAGGCAGCCCTTCGCACCGGAATGGGTTGGGGTGGAGCAGAGGCAGCCCTCCACACTGGAATGGGTGGGGGGCCTGGTGTGGCCACATCTCCGGCAAGACACCCTGAAAAACGAAGAGGTCCTGGGCCTCCTAGGCAATGACTTGAAAAGAAAACTTACCCAGACAGGAGTTGATCTCAGTCTGGCAGAGAGCAGGTGTGGGGGAGAGGGGTGTTTTCCCACCAAGTGGCCCTGGGCCAGTGGGAAAAAATCATGAACCTCTAGATAATAAGTTTTAGGCCTCTCCACTGTCGCAACAAACCGAATCAGACCAAATTGGAAAGCCCGGGTTTAATGAGTAAAGCACTCCTGGGCGATTCCTGGCTGCAGAGAGGAAACAGGAATGCCAGAGAGGAGACAGGGATGTGAGAACGGAAGAACCACCAGTCTGTTTTATGGGATGCCGCTTATGTATCCCCTGTGGGAGTGGTCTTGAGCCTCTCTGGGGAAGGAGCTGTTTAGCAGGCTCTGAAGGTGCAGGTTTGGGGAAAAAGATGGGGAAAGAGAAGTTGAAGTGGATCTTCCACCAGACTCCTTCCAAACAGTTTCTTTTATGAACTTGGATGCCTTTATGTTTGGTGCAAAGATGTTAAGAATTGAAATGTCCTCTGGAAGGTTATTTCTTTTGACAAGTACATAGTGTTCACCTATATCTCTTCAGATTAGTTTTGGCTTGATGTCTATTTTGTCAGATAATAAAATGGCTACACCCCAGATGCTTCTTAGGTCCATTTGCTTGGAATATGTTTTTCCTTCTTTTTATCCTGAGGTGATGTCTATCTTTGGTGTTAAAGTATGTTTCTTGAATGCAACAGAAGGATGGAACCTGTTTTTGCATCCATTCTGTTAGTCTGTCTGCTTTTTTTTTGGTTTGGTTTGGTTTGGTTTTTCGAGACAGGGTTTCTCTGTGTAGCTTTGCGCCTTTCCTGGGACCCACTTGGTAGCCCAGGCTGGCCTTGAACTCACAGAGATCCACCTGGCTCTGCCTCCCCAGTGCTGGGATTAAAGGCGTGCGCCACCACCGCCTGGCTAAGTCTGTCTTCTTATTGTGGTATTGAAACCACTGATGTTAAGAGATAATCAATATGCAGTTTCTGTTCATTCCTACTATTTTTGGGGTGTTGTGTGTGGTGTGTGTGTGTGTGTGTGTGTGTGTGTGTGTGTGTGTGTGTGTGTTTCTCTTTTTTCTTTTTGTGCTCAACTGGGATTATCTATTCCCTGTGTGTTTTCTTGAGTGTCATTAACCTCTTTAGGTTGGAGTTTTCCTTCTAGTTCATTCTGTGGGGCTGACTTGAAGATATATATTACTTAAATTTGGTTTTATCATGGAATGTCTTATATTTTCTCCATCTGTTTGCTCAGGATAATAGTCTGGGGTACCATGTGTTGTCTCTTAGAGTCTGCAGCACATCTATCCAGGTCCTTCTGGTTTTTAGAGTCTCCATTGAGAAGTCAGGTGTAATTCTAATATGTCTGCCTTTATATGTTACTTTGTCAAACTTGCAGTTTTTAATATTCTTTGTTCTATACATGTAGTGTTTTGATTACTATGTGCTGAGGGGACTTTCTTTTTGGTTCAGGCTACTTAGTGTTCTTTGTGCTTCTTATACCTTACTAGGCATTTCCTTCTTTAGGTTAGAGTCATGTTCTTCTATGATTTTATTGAAAATATTTTCTGTGCTTTTGACTTGGGTTTCTTCTCCTTCCTCTATTCTTATTATTCATAGATTTGGTCTTTTTATGGTGTTCCATATCTCCTGGATGTTTTGTGACAGGAATTTTTTTAGAGTCACCATTTTCTCTGCCCAAGGAATCCATTTCGTATATTGTGTCTTTAATGCTTGAGATTCTCTTCTTCCATCTCTGCTAGAGAGGCTTGCATCATAGGTTCCTATTCGAGTTCCTAAATCTTTCATTTCTGGATTTCCCTCAGTTTGAGTTTTCTTCATTGATTCTATTTCCACTTTCAGGTCTTGAACTGTTTTATTCATTTCCTTCCACTGCTGTTTTTGTTCTCATAAATTTAAGAGATGTATTCATGTCCTCTTTCAGGACCTCTGTCGTCTTCATGAAGGCTGTTTTAAGCTCTCTGTCTTGTGCTTCAGCTAAAAGGTAAGAGAAGGTAAAATTTGTTCCTAGGTATTGGGAGCTGACACTTAGAAATGGGGATGGGCTAGGACTGGGGGACGAGGGCCCCACAGGTAGGACAGCAGGGTGTTCCCCCGGGATCTGCTTGGTTCCTGGTAGTTGGGGAAGAGAGTGAGTAGAGGCCACAGCACGTTTGCTGTAGAGCTGTGTGTGAGACTGGGGGATTGGACTTGGAGCAGGGAGCAGAGGGAGAGGTGAAGATCTGAAGTTGGACTTCCTGCTTCCCTGGCCTAAGTCTTCCCCTGCTCTTAAAATGCCTGAGACCTCGCTTCACCTTCATTACCTCCAAATACTATTAGCATACAAGCCTAGGAATTATGTCTCTGACGTATAACATGTGGAGGACACACTTGAGGCACAGGTCCTCTTTATGACTGTAGGCAGTGATGGAACTGCTTCTGGGGCTCCTGAGCTTAAGGGACAGGAGTATGTTTCAGCTTCTAGGCCAAGTGTCTGCACTCTTGAGAGATGTTCCACACACCTTTCTCGAACCCTTCAAAATGAAAAGTATTCTACTCGAAAACATCTAAAAGTTCCAGAAAATGTTACAAAGGTATGTGGATTGTGTAAAAATGGAGGAACACCATCATGTCTGACGGCAAGAATTCTAGCTGCACAGAATGTTAGGGAGCCCTGTGTCTCTAGGGCACATGTGACAACCTAGGATGCAGCATAGGAAAAGAAAATGAACAGGCCTTCACCAGCCACTGGTAGACACAGGAGTCAGATCTTGCTGATACGGCTCCAGTTTCCTTGAAAAGCAACAGAGAATGGGTATTTTAATAAACCAAGTTACTAAAACCTAGAAAATGAGTTATGGGAATAGGCAGGCCGTAGTTTCTAGGATCTATGCAAACTAGACTCCAGATGCATAGAAGAGAAGCCAGTCAGCCATTAGCCACCTGAACATCCTAAATTAACTTAATGCAAGCAATTTTTTGGTCAAAGTACACATAATCAGGATGTGCACAGCTTACGTCCTCCTGAGGACACTGAGTGGACAAAGCCAGGACGAGGTTCCCAGAAGTGAATCAGAAGTTTGCCTGTGACACTCAAGGCTGAAACACAGAACAGAAGAATGAGGCAGGCATAAAGACCTAATGGCTCTGCAGGTGCCAGCAGTATTGTAAGGATAGTCAACATAAAGAATGTAAGGGCTATTATAGAAACGTGGTGAAATCATCATATCCTAGTTGAGGAACCTATACAAAATAAAGATGTTAAAAGCGCTATGTGGGCCGGGCGGTGGTGGCGCACGCCTTTAATCCCAGCACTCGGGAGGCAGAGGCAAGCGGATCTCTGTGAGTTCGAGGCCAGCCTGGGCTACCAAGTGAGTTCCAGGAAAGGCACAAAGCTACACAGAGAAACCCTGTCTCAAAAAACCAAAAAAAAAAAAAAAAAAAAAAAAAGCGCTATGTGGTGCAGACTGCTTCTGTGGATGACCCTAAAGGACAAAAAGGATCATATGACAATTTCACAAGCCACTGCACATCTGTGGTGCCCTCTCTGACAAGTACAGTCATTGCTGACGAGGTTCAAAGCGAGGGCTCTCAGTTACCCTGATGAGTCTCCTGGTGGTTAGAAAAACAGGCAAGAAAACATGGACACTTATACCAGAGACTAACTGCAAATAGAAGACAATGCCAGATGATCAGGGCAGTAAGACTGCTTGCATGGAACAATATTTCCCAAACCCCAAGAATAGCACAGTCCGAGTTTGCCCTTTGGCTTTTGGTTTGGTACCTAGCACTTCTGAAAACAAAACAAAACAGAAAACGAGCCAGGCCCTAATGTGCGCAAGCACATTGAGTGATAACAATGTGTCTATATGAACTCATCAACTGTAGCAAAAGTACCACTCTGGCCAGGGATGTTGCTAGCTGGGGAGGCTGTATATATTTCAGAATGGGGGTGGAGATGGGGGTGGGGTGGGGAAAGTATATGGGAACTCTGTTTTCTGCTCAATATTGATATGGACTGAATCCTTTTCTTGAAAAATAAAGTGTTTTTTTAAAGAGAAGGACTAACTCATGAATCACTGGATCCAGGCTGACTGATCTAGAGGTCCTGAGATAGCACCTTAAAAGACAGAAAAGCCACCCCCGACAGCTCTCTCTGCCACGTGCTCCCCAGGTGCCCTGCTGGCCACAAGTATTCAAATCCATGGCTCTTGGATACTTGCACTGAGTTTTCTGTTTTAAGAAACACACAATGCTTGTATCTTTTTTTGTTTTGTTTTTCAAGACAGAGTTTCTCTGTGTAGCCTTGGGTGTCCTGGAGCTTGCTCTGCAGACTTGGCTGGCCTCCAACTCAGAGTCTGCCTCAGACTCTGCCTCCCCAGAGCTATCATTAAAGGTGTGGTCCACCACCGTCCGGCTGATGTCTTTTTTTTTTTTTTTTTTTTTTTTGTTTTGTTTTGGTTTTTTGAGACAGGGTTTCTCTGTGTAGCTTTACGCCTTTCCTGGGACTCACTTGGTAGCCCAGGCTGGCCTCGAACTCACAGAGATCCACCTGGCTCTGTCTCCCGAGTGCTGGGATTAAAGGCCTGCAACACCACTGCCCGGCCCGGCTGACGTCTTTTAAAGAGAAATATTTACAAGGTAGAATTGGCACATTAATTATTTAATGTGTTCTTAAGCTGTACACATCTGTAATCCTAACACTCAAGAGGCTGAGACAGGAATTTAGGCCCAGTTTGAGCCACATAGCAAGACCCTGAAGACCTAGACTCAATTTTTTTAAATTACAAAGTTAACAGCTATTTACTTATAAAAATTAGTTAATAACTATTCCCCTTTTAAAAATTAGCATAACAGGCATTATTTTTGGCCCTTGCAGACAAAGTTCAAAGCTGTTTGACAGAAGTTCAAAACTGTGTGATAGACACGTGAATGACTTTTATTATTATCACCTTTGTATCTGTTTGAAGTCCTCCTTGATAAGGGTTTTTAAAAGTCTCAACTAAAAAGTGAATGGATCTTTGACACCCACAGGCACTTGCAAGATACCTGCTTGTGTATAACCAAATCCTAGAATATTCAAGTCCTGTGTACAAACTGCCATAGTACTTACAGTTGCTATGAAGAGACACCATGACCAAGGCAACTCTTATGAAAGAGAGCATTTAATTGGGGGCTTGCTTATAGTTTCAGAGGTCAGTCCATTACCGTCATGGCAGGGAGCATGGCAGCAGGCAAGCTGACATGAACAAATCCTCCTGAATACTTTGAGGTGTGTCTACTCTAAGGGTGGCAAGCCATGTGCACCCCAGGATAGCTATGAAGGTGGCCCAACCCCAAACCATAAACTTATTTAATGCATTATGAGCCTTGGGTTTTTGAGGGTTATTTTGCGGGGTGGGGTGATTATTTACTGTTTTTTTTTTTCTTTTGTAACTTGATTACATGGTTCTCAAGTGTGAAGTCTGCAAAGAACAAGTTTGTTGCAGTATCAACAGTTGGGCATGACTCAATGACTCCTGCAATGTAAACAGCATCTGCTAGGTCACTTAAGGAATAATGATGATGAATGTTTGCTGTGCTGTTGCTGGATCTGCCAGACACATGGAAGGCCGTGTGTGTGTGTGTGTGTGTGTGTGTGTGTGTGTGTGTGTGTGTGACAGAAAAATAGTCTGTATTCTGCCTTGATCACTGCCCTATTGCTATGAAGAGACACCATGACCAAGGCAACTCTTATGAAAGAGAGCATGTAATTGGGAGCTTGCTTACAGTTTCAGAGGTCAATTCATTATCGTCATGGCAGGGAGCATAATGGCAGGCAGGCTGACATGGTTCTGGAGCAGTAGCTGAGAGCTACATCCTGATCGGTAGACTAGGATATAGCCTAGGCCTGGGATGGGCTTTTTAAACCTCAAAAGCTACCCCCAGTGACAAACTTCCTCCAACAAGAGCAAACCTACTCCAATAAGTTGGCATCTCCCAAACCCTTTCAAATAGTTCCACTCCCTGGTGACCAAGCATTCAAATCTATGAGCCTATGGGGGCCGTTCTCACTCAAACCACCACCGTGGCCCGAACCTACAAACTTAGGATAGTACTTAAGAACATGAGTGCAGAGTTCCTGTTGCCATGGCTTGGTTCTATCGGTTTTCAGCTGTTTGAATTTTGTGAAAGTTTTTTTGTTCTTGTTTTATCCTGGTTAAAAATCAATCTTTCCACCAGGAAGTGGGAATAATACCATAAAAAAAAAAGCCATTATGAGAATTTAACAACAGAAATGTATAAAATCATAGCTCAGAGTTTGGCTCGATATCAATGCTTAATAAATACTAGCTATTGATAAAAACCCAAAAGCTCTTCACTACTCCTCTAAAATTAAAGAGGCAGGAAAACCAGCATCGAAGTCTAATCTACAGACAAGGAAAATTTCTGAAGAGTCACAGTGTGGAGACAAAACCATCTCCCAATCCTACTGTGTTTAAATATAAACCGTCTGTGGTAGTTAATATCCACTGTGAACTTGGATGAAGAAACACCAGGGGACTCGTGAAGAGCCCTCCATGTTTGTATACGGGCATTTCCAGAGAGAGCTGTGTGGTAAGGGCTCTGACCTGATGAACAGATCCATTCCTTATTGAATCATAATAGGACAGCCTTGCTGGAGGCTGAGTAAGAGCTGAGGCCTTGATGAAGGATGGAGGTCCTGGGAGATGCCTCACTGGGCTATGGCCTGCCCTGGTTCCTTCCTATCCCCTCCTTCTCCCCCCCCCACCCCCCCCCCGGCTGCCGCTGCTGTGGTGTAAAGTTTCCTACCCCACTGTGATGGCCTGAACTCACCCAAACAGTGACACAAAACCAAACCTTTCCTCTTGTAAGATATACTGTTGCAGTGGCTATAAGACTAATGTATAATTTATGAAGAATTTACAAAAATCATGGAAAATTCAAAACTGTAGTATCGTCTTTTAACCCTGATAAAAATAACCTAAGGAGGGCCAGCAAGATGGCCCAGCTGGTAAAGGTGGCTGGCACCAAGTCTGAGGATCTGAGTTCAACCCCCAGGACCACATGGTGGCAGGTGAGTACCAACTCTCAAGAGTTAGGCTGGGTTCAATGGCTGGATGCAATATAGAAGCCCCTTTGAGCATAGGCATAAAGCAAATAGGTTGACACTCAAAAACACAAGACTCTGCAGGATCCAGAGCAACCCAAATATCAGAGTTCTGTCAAGACACTGTCACTCAGATCGGTATTAAAAGGATCACACACACACACACACACACACACACACACACACACACACACACACGGGCGTGCCACCAGATGGGGAGCAAGTGCACGTACAAACTGTGGCTCTGGCAATTGTTTCCTTTTCTATGTCATTGTGGGCCCTGATCACAATCAAACTTGTCATGGAGTGCAATGAAGATTTAAGATGCAAAGTGAAAACTTGATTTCAGAAAAACAGTTTGTCTGTAAGGGATAGTTCATACCTGGAATCCCAGAGCTGAAGAGCCTGAGGAAAGGAAATTGCCACATGTTCAAGTCCACATACCTGAGTTACATGGTGAATTCCAGGCTAGCCTGGGTTACAGAGTGAGATCCTGTCTCCATTTCCAAGGAACACAAACTGTTTGCAGATTCAGCAGATAGCTTCCTATGGAACAGATGTGCTCTAAGAACAAGCAAAGGCCTTATAGGGAGAGGATTCCCAGCAAGGCTCCCACCAGGTTCTGATATGTAAATGAGGTGCTACCAAGTAGGTACCCTCTTTTTTGGATGGCTGATTGTGGGTTCATTGGTCCGAATGAGAAGACAAAATAGGAATTCCCAGGGGCTCTTTGCCATGCCTGGCTTGAAGCCTGGCATAGTTACGTTTGTGGTTCCTCAAGAAACTAAAGTGACATGTGGATTACCCAGTCAAAACTGGCCACACTTCGAATTTAGGCCCCGTTAGCCACTTGAGAGCCTTCTTGGAGGTGTGGCTTTTCTTAAATTTCACAAGATGGGTCCATAGAATAATTAGGGCAGCTTCAATTAGCCAATCAGCTAGACTCTAACCCATTCAGTCTTGAGATACGGACCCTGAAGCTTTTTCTTTGTGTATAGTAGATCACTACTTTAAACTGTAGACACAGTTGCCTGAAGAATAACTGCAGGAGGAAGTAGGTGTGATATTTGTGTTTCCAACTACCTCTGTGTAATCATTCTGATCTCTGAATAAAATAACGTGACTGACAGGAATGTACTGTAATGATCTGCTAGATAATTGCATGGTCTCAATGAGAAACATGACAGTCTGCCAGGAAAAGCAGAACAGGACATACAGTTCCTTTCTGCTGTGGAAGGAAGTAGAAGAAACTGTTAAAATTTCAATTCTTTCACTTAAACTGAGAAAAAAAAAAACATTTTAAGGCTGCAATTATACCGTACATTCTCAATATAGTAAAACTGGTGTCTAAAAATGTTTTCTTTTTTCGAACAAACATATGCAAATCTCAGAATGGGTGAACAGATGCCAGGCAATGGAGAGAAAGCATCCTTTCCCAAGGAATAAAAAAATCTACAGCATTACAAGGACGCCCTCTGCTGTCACCTTTTGGGTAACACATCAAGTAGAATCCCCATGGGGTTGCAAGGCTAATAATTTTCAGCAAAGTTTGGAGTTGGAGAAATGACTTAAATCATTCTATACCGTTTAATCGTTTCTAAAACGTTTTAGCAGTGAACTGATAGATTCTGGGTAATGTTATTCTAAACACAGTGTTTGAGCCTCATAAACTTCAGTAAATCCCTTAGTGACAACATTATTTATTTAAGGTCAGATTTTCACTATTTATACGAAATACTGTTTAAAAATATTTCCAAAAGAAGATTACAGTCATGCCAAATGGTTTCTCCAATGACGACAGTCAACCCAACTATGGCCAAACTCTTTTCACTTTGAAGGAAAGTCTTACACTTTAAAAACCATTCCTAACACAAAGCATCCCCCAAATCATAAGGTACCAAGACATCCAAAAAGTTAACTAAAAATTCACGACACTGAAGTCGATGTCAGTTAGCTATTGTTTTTAAAGTCCCAGGAGCAGAAGCAGACTTACCAGAAGAGAACAAAGCACAATTTTCAGGGTTCCCCACAAGTGCTGGAGTGGTCAGGGTGGAGAGAAAAAGTATTTCTGTGCAAGCATTTTTGACTCGTTGCCTCCAGAGAACTTAGGGGGAAGGAATCAGACTTCAGTTCTCAAGCAACTCATTTCATTTCTTTCCCCCACATTAAACACAGGATGCTTGGTTTTTCACATTTTTCTGTTAATGTTATTTTTCTTGAAAGGGACCACAAAAAAAAAAATTTATAAGCTCAGGATTCACAAAATCTGCCTCCTTCCCATGTACCGTCACAGACTTAGTCAGAAAATGCTATTTTACTTTTACTGGGGTCATCTTGTGCTAAGAGGAAATAAAACCCTATGATGGCAATTTAGAAATAAAGATGGTGACTGGTGAGGTCATCCAGTCTGTTTGCTAACAAGCCTGCCAGCCTCAGTCAGATCCTGCAGGTTGAAAAGAGAGAGAAATTGGAAAGGAGGAAACCAAGACCGAGTGGGAAGTGGGCCTGACGCCTCATGCCAGCATCCCAGCATCCGGGAGGTGGAAACAGGAGGGTCATGAGTTTGAGACCGGTCTGGACTTCATTGTGAATCCTATCCGCCAGTCTAGGATTCAGAAGAGATCCTGCCTCAAACAAACAAGGCTTAAGGAGGTATTAGTAAACTATTTGATGAAGTGTGTGTGTGTGTGTGTGTGTGTGTGTGTGTGTGTGTGTGTGTGTGTAGATCAACCTGCTGAGTAAGCACTGTCACTGCACTACATCCTTAGCCCACATGCAACATTTAAGGACACGAGAACCAGTTCAACAATGGAGCCGCCCAAAGTTCAGAGCCTCTTCTTCACGAGACTTACGAGGGGATTTAGGAGGGGAATCAGCCTCCTGCGGGTGTTAATTCTGAATTCATTGCTCTACCGTGATGACATCTCTTCATGTCAACTATGCCTTGCAATCAGGAAATGTTCAATGACTACATGTTGAATGAATGAATGAGTGCAAACACTGTCTTGAAAACTTTAATGAATATAATAGTTTCATTGATTTCAATTAAAAACAACGCTGGCTGCCTATCTGCTAGAGGAAAGGTATTAGGCCAAAAGGTTCAGAGGGTGCTGGTTTGAGGGAACGCTGTTCTTGAGTTTAAACCAACAGTTGGTATTTGATTGATGAGATTAGGAAAAGTGCCCTCTGAAACAGAAAATGCTTGATGACAGAACCGTGGTGCGTTCCTGGTGTTAGAACATGGAGCATGGGGCAGATCCAGTAGTGACAAAGTGAGGAGCTATGTCCTGGGAGAGCTGGTAGCCCTGACTTGTGGCACAGAGAGCTCACTGGAAGGCTAACTGGAAGCAATTCAGGCTCCTGTCAGCACATTGCTCACTGATCCCCATCTGGATCTGGAGACGCTCACAGAAGTCCCTGTGAGTGAACGTTCGCATGGCCACCATGAGAAATCACATTTGGCTCTCTGCAGGCAACGCCTTTAATTGGCATGGAGAAGTGCAAGGATCCACACAAACTTTTAATGAAGTACTACTAAGCAGCTTTGGTGTCAGAGCTGAGAAGTAAATTCACTTTTTGATTCAAGTTTGTCCCCGAGGACACATGATCTGTGACTTTGTTGAATACCGACTTCTTTGATACAAAGGTCATTTGAGTTTCAAGGCCACTTGTTAAAGCTATATGACAAAAGCCACCGAAGGAAGGGTCACAAGGAAAGGGTTGTGTGGTCACGTCATGCGAAGACTGTTCATAAGCAGATGCCAACAAAGACAGATGGGGAAATGCACTCTTGCTGTGGGTCAAATGGCCTCCTCCACTTACCAGTCACGTGACCTGGGTGGCACCTCTAACTTCCACATGCTCTGGTTTCCTCTTCTATGAAATGAGAGGACCCCCCCCATGATAATACACCACATTGCTACCTCCCCGTGCAAAGAACTGTTCCCCCAAGTCTTTGGGCCTGACTGCTGTGGATGTGTTTTGTTAACTGAAATGTGACGTTTACCCTCTCTCCTGTTATGAGGACAGCATGCCCCTTGGGAGGCTGCTCTGTAAGCCTCAACTGCAGGACCAAAAGGACACAAGAAGCAGAGCTAAGGCTAGCCTACAGCTATCGATATTGTGTATTGATACTGTGAGGCTTGGGTGCTTAGGCACCCATTCCTGCTTCAGTACTAAATACGGCACCATGCAGGCAAGTGGTATCATGATAGGCACATGGTAGCACACTTGGCACATGGTACCACATTAGGCAGGTGGTACCAGCCTGAGCACATGGTGCTTTTGTTACATAGGTTGAATAAAACATTTCACATTAGATGTGGTGATACATATCTAGAATCCTATCCCTCGGGAGCCTGTGTCAAGTTCAAGGCTAGCCTGAGCTACCTAAGGAGATCATGTCTATGTCGGCCCTTGGTTCAATTTCTAGCACTACCAATACCACCACTAATACTAACTTCAAATTGCTTGCGTTGTTTTGTAGCTATACTGAAATCAAACTAGCTCCTTCTCAGTTGGGTGTGGTAACACAAGCCTGTAGTCCCAGCTGCTTGGAAGACTAAAGCAAAAAAAATCCACAAATTCAAGGCTTTGAGTGACAATAGCCATGAAGCTGCCAATAGTTTTTTTAAAGTACGCATGTTGTATATGTGGAAAAAAACCTTCTTAATATATACCTACCGCTTCCCATGGCACACATGTAGACATATAGAAATAAAATGAAATAAAAATCAAATAAAGATACGGTTTTCAAATGCGTCCCATCATCTTCTGTGTTTCTCTGATTTCCAGTTTTTAAGTCCCTAGGAACTACCCAAAAGAGAAAGGGTTCTCCACCCATTAAGAAGTCATGCTGAGCGATTCCAAGGAACAGTAGAAACCCAGACTGCATCCAAGTTTCAACTGCCACGTTTTAAATCTCAGCTCTCATTTCCAACATGTGACATCATTTAGAAACTTGTTAGGCAAAGAGAATCATAGGACTTAAAACATCTTGTCCCCAAACATGTAAAATATTAATGGAAAAATCCAGGCATGTCATCAACTATACAGAAATTAAATGAGGAAAAAGAGGAATTTGCAGAATAGTATCTGTATCCTTTCAAGCCTAAAGGGGAAAAGAGGCAATGGGATGTAATGGAGAATGGAGCAGCCAGTTTGGTGCTTTCCCTAGCCAAGATGACAACAGACATTCAGACATACGATTTCCACAACCCAGCAACGTTTGCACATATATGGATTATGTGCGTGCGTGCACACCTACACGCACATGTGTGCATGCACACCTACACGCACATGTGTGCATGCACACCTACATGCACATGTGTGCGTGCATACACACCCTGAGCTCTCCACTGCATTTTTAAAGTGACAGTTTCACTCTATGTAGCCCAGGCTGTCCTCAAATTCACAATCCTTATGCCTCAGCCTCCTGAGTGCCAGGAGTGCAAGTATACACGTCTTACAAGTAGAGAAGAGTGAGACAACACCCTTTTTTTTTTTTTTAAAGCAAACCATACAAGATGGTTTTCATCTGCTTATAGTGACA